GTCGAGTTGACGACCGCCGTGATTGGAGATGACAACGCCGTCGACTTTGTGGTCGATGGCTAGTTGGATGTCTTCGGGGGAGTAGACTGTTCACATTAGTCTATACATGGTAACCGCAGGAGTGGGGATGGACGTACCACCCTTGAGCCAGATCTCGAGCTTCGTGTTTTGTCGTAGCCAGGCGATCGTCTTGTCCCAGCGAATAGAGCCATCTGGATATTCTGTTAATAGCCGATAAGCAGAAGGAAATGAAGTGCATACCGTAGCCACGCTCATACGTGTCCTTCAACCCCAACTCTTCAATTCCCTCTGCCAGTACTGGAAACCGCATATCTCTCGGGAAGTTGAAGTTATTCCGAGACTCGTTCAATCTGTTCCCTAGTACAGGGAGATCCACGCTCACGAACAATGCTTTGTATCCGGCCTCTTAACTTTCATCAGTAACCACGAAAACTTATAAGGGTCAATTGGATACCCACTTTCTGCCTTCTGAATGATCCTCCTCGTAATCTCTACATCCCTGAAGAACGATACCTGCATGGCATACGGATTCCCCGTCCCCTGGGCAATCACATCATCGATGCCTGTTGTTGCCCACGAGGACAAGCACATGGGGATATCGTGCGCTGCAGCTGCACGCGAGGTGCCCACTTCGCCATCTGCATGGGCGAGTTTGTGCGCGGCAGCCGGGGCAAAGCCGAGGGGGAATTTCACTTTGTTGCCGAAAATGGTGGTGCTAGTGTCGAGGGCATCTACATCGCGAAGGACGCGAGGGAGTAGTTTGTATCGGTTGTAGGCTGCTTCGTTGTCTTTGAGACTGTGATCTGTTAGTATATATAGGGCACGGTGTGAGTTGAGGGAATTAGTACGTGATGAGGTCGCCGGCGCCTTCGTTGAAGTAGTCTGTATGCATGTCTTAGTATTGACTGGGTTGCAGAGATCGTGAGGATTGCTCACCGCGCACGACCGGAGGAAGCCGTTTCTGGGCCTCAATGGCCAGATCGGCGATGGTGAGGACTTTGGAGTCGTGATCTTTGGGACGGTTGGCCATTTCTATGTTATGTACACTGCAAGGTGGTGATTGGTAATACGGACTAGATCTACGACTGGTATATATAATTTCCCGAAATGTCTACTCAATGGCTCAAACAACCGAGAAGGCAGTTCCTCGGATTGAACATCCATCTTGCAGTATGTCGATCTACGATAAGATAGAACTTCCCTTCCCCCAACTGGCGGTGGAGTGGAAATAATGCAGGCAAGTCACCCCGGCCCACTTCAAACAGGCAAGTCAAGACTTCCCCGCACGATAAGATAACCAGCTTCTTTCTTCGGATTTTGTCTTTGCCCTATATCTATCCCACCTCTTTACCACATAGAAACACCGGTTAGCAGCTCCAATTTACCGACAATGGCTCCAACACCCGTCCTAGCCACCTCCGCCTACTACGCCCCTGGCGTGGTGTCATCCGCCTCCAAATATCTCCATGTCTCGGGCCAGCCGGGCACCATTGAAGGCACTGCCCCTGCCGATTACATTTCGCAGATCCATCTTGCCCTCGTGAATCTACACCGTGTGCTAGCCGCCACCGGCGCTACCCCTCGCGATGTAGTCAAACTCACTCTCTACATCGTCGACTACGACCCCAATAACCGTCTCCACACCCGACCTCTGCAGACATGGCTCGCCGGCCACAAACCTGCCATTACTCTTGTTCCAGTACCCCAGCTAGCAGTTCCAGACTGGAAATTCGAGATTGAGGCTACCGTTGCGGTGCCGGACTCTGTCCCAACTTCGCTTTCTCTTCCCTCTCCCACAGAAACCACCGATGTGCTTATCATCGGCGCCGGCCTGTCTGGCCTCATGGCTGCTGAAACCATCCTCCAGTCTGGTCACTCGTGCATCGTGCTCGAAGGCCGCGACCGCGTGGGCGGCAAGACCTGGTCTTGTCCCTTGCCCAGTGGCACCGGAGTGGTCGATCTCGGCGCTGCCTGGATCAACGATACCAACCAGAGCATGATGTATGAGCTGGCAAAACGGGCTGGTGCTGAATTGATCGAGCAGAATACGACGGGTAACTGTGTTTTGCAGCGAGAGGACGGCACCCTCACTGCATTCCCTTACGGGCAGACTCCATGCGTATGCTACCTTCCAACTGGGTTATAACTCACCTTGCTAACCGCGTCAAGATAACTCCTCAAATCCAAAAAGAAATTGAACTTATCCGCGACACTGCCGAACTTGACTGCCAATCTCTCTCCACCAGTCGACCTCAGAATGCCGAACTCGACTCCCTCTCCTTCCTCGCCTATCTCCATTCCCGCAACGCCAGCCCCATCGCTGTAGCCAACGCCTCCGTCTGGACTCGCGCCATGCTCGGCCAAGAACCTCAGGACATCTCCGCTCTATACTTCCTCAACTACTGTAAATCGGGTGGCGGACTACTCCAGATGCGCTCTGATAGGAAACACGGCGCGCAGTATCTGCGTGTGCGACAGGGGACGCAGATCTTTGCGAAGACGTTGGCTGAGTCATTGCCCACGGATACAATTCGCTTCGGGCAGAGAGTGGTGGGGATTACACAGGTGCAGAAAGGGGTGAACTATGTTAAAACGGAGAGTGGATTGGTGGTCAAGGCTCACAAGGTCATTTGTTCAGTGCCGACACCTGTCCTTAAGACGATCAAGTTCGAGCCGCAACTACCTGCTGCTAAGCAGCTGCTGGTCGATTCATTCAGATATGGTTACTACACTAAGGTGATGTTGTCATTCCGGACGGCGTGGTGGGCGGATCGTGGGTTCTGTGGACTGGCGCAGTCGTTTGTTGGTCCTGCGTCGATTTACCGCGATACGAGTGTGCCGGAGGATGGTAAATGGGTGCTCACGGCGTTTTTGGCCGGCGACGCTGGGAGGAAGTGGTCTGGGTTGGGGAGTCAAAGGGAGCGTGAACTAGCGTTGTTGGAGCAGTTGGGTGCGATTTATGGCGATAAGGATCTGCCCAAGAGAGAGTTTGTCGAGGCTCTCGGTCATGAGTGGTCGACTGAGGAACTCTCTGGCTGGGGCTGTCCTTGTCCGGCACTGCCACCAGGCGTGTTAATGCTGGCTGGGGATGCCCTCCGAGAACCGTTCCGGGATGTGCATTTCGTGGGAACGGAGACGGCGGAGGAGTGGAAGGGATATATGGAGGGAGCTGTGCGCAGTGGGAAGAGGGGGGCGGTGGAGGCTGTTAAGGGGCTGACGAGGAGCCAGTTGTGATATACATATGGTAGATATAGTACTAGCGATCATCTAGACGATGCTGCATATGTGAATGGGTATGTTAATGACATCAGTTCTATAGCACGAGTTCCTCGGAATGTATCGCAAGATGCAAATACCGACCAATAAGGAGGCATGCTGTGAAGTGGAATTTACCACAACCAAACCCCAATAGTTGTTTTATTAGCAACCAACTCTTCCAACATAGGAATCTACCCAAAGGATGAAATAAAGATCTACATTCCAGTTTACATAGCCCCAAAACTAACGTGATGGGGTCCAAAAATTGGGAAATGGCAGCTGTGATCCGCCGTACCCCGTGCCAAGCCTGACTCCATCCCCAACTCGATTTGATTGATTCATTCTTAATGCTCAATTCATCCCTCCGTTTGCAGCTTTGCAGCCAACTTCACCTCTCCATCCGTCTCTTAACTCTTCTTATACTCACATAACCCTCGCATCTGCGATGGCCCTCCCTTCCACTCGCACTCGCTAACCCTCCTCATGCCACGCCGCCGCCTCATTCTGGTCGCCGCCCTCCTCGCCCTCGGCCTCCTCTACACCCTCACTTCCCACGGCGCATCCTCCCCTCCTCTCCAGATCATCCCCAATGACTGTCCCTCACGCCCTGATCTCGACAACATTCTAGTCGTCCTCAAAACCGGCGTCACCGAATCACGCACCAAAGTCCCCATCCACCTTTCCACCACCCTCCGCTGCATTCCCAACCACGTCCTCTTCTCCGACTACGTCGAACAACTCTCCCCCACCCACTTCACCCACGATGTCCTCGCCTCACTCTCCCCCGCTCTCCTCAATCATAACCCCGAACTCGACCTCTATCGTCGCGTGCGCGCCGAAGGCCCTGCCGCCCTCACTGCCGCCGACCTGAACCCCGACGTCAACACCCCGATCGGCAAACCCAATAACCCCGGCTGGAAACTCGACAAATGGAAGTTCCTTCCCATGCTGGACGAGGCCCTGCGCGTCAAACCAAATGCGAACTGGTACATCTTCCTCGAGGCCGATACCTACCTCGTCTGGGATAATTTCCTCCAGTGGCTACGGCGCTTCGATCCCTCCAAACCATGGTACCTCGGCAATCAGATGCAGATCGTGGATGCCATTTTCGCCCACGGTGGTTCCGGGTTTGCGCTGTCGCGCCCAGCGCTCGTGCAGGCGGTTAATCAGCGCAAGCGGACTAGCGATGGATGGGAACGTGCCGTGGCGGAACATTGGGCTGGGGATTGCATGCTGGGGATTCTGCTCGAGAATGTCGGGGTGGATCTGACGTGGTCGTGGCCGATGCTGCAGATCGCTCCGCCGGAGGAGATGGATTACTTCTCCATTGGGTATGCGAAGCGGCCGTGGTGTTATCCGGCCGTGTCGTTTCATCATCTGGACGAGCAGGGCATTCGGCAGTTGGATGACCTGGAGAGGGAGCTGGGGCCGCTGAAGACACCGCTGCTGTACCGCGATGTGTTCCTCAAGCTGGTCCGACCGGAGCTGCGCGATGTTCGCACCGAGTGGGATAACCTGGTCGACGGGGACCCCGTGGCCGTGAGCAGCTTCGCGGCCTGTCGGGGCGTGTGCACGCGCGAGGCCAAGTGTCTGCAGTACGCATATAACGAGACGGAGGGAGCGTGTCGCACGTCCACGGTGCTGGCGCTGGGACATGCGCGACCGGGACTATCGGCTGGATGGATGACCGAACGCATTGATGCGATGGCGGAGAGTCTGGGTGAATGTCGCGAGATCAGCTGGATTGATTGATGCGCCCCCTTTTGACAAAGATATTTTCTCATTCATAGTATCATACATACATATATATATAACCGTCTATACAACCAGCGTATACACACACAGTGAAAAATTCACATTTTAGAATCCCTGCACAGGAGTATACCCTTCGATCAACCTACTCTGACTCGACCCGCGAATCTTAAACTCCCTCGCCAACCCCGTCACCTGCAATCCAGCCAGTCTGCCCTCATCGAACCGGAACTGGCCAATGCGCACATCTCTCCCCCCATCCCAATCACAATAAGTAAACACATGCACCGCATAATGTACCGTCACTCCGCCCGTCTCCTCATCCATCTTCACCACCCCGGTCACACTATACACGAACCTCCCCACGGACAAGAACCAATCCCAGCTCTGATCCGGCGTGGCCACATACTCGTGCCAGAAACTCGTGAACGGCACGACGGGCGCCTCGTCCGGTCGGGTCATCATCACTGCCTCGTAGGCAAGCTTGGCTTTGAATTTCGCTAATTCGTGCACTTCGGCGCGGAATTGCGGCATCGCTGATAACATCTCGTCCACGGAAACGTGCGCATCCCGCCCCGTGTTTCCCAGGTAGTTTTTGAGGTAGTCGGCGAAGTGTGTTTGCCCTTGGTTGTGCGCTGCGCGCGCAATGCTATACAGGGTGGTTTTGTCGACGTGGTCGGCGCTGCTGGCTAGTCGGGATTTCCATGGGTAGTAGGGGGATGTGGGTGGTTTGGCTGGGTCGGTGGGAGGTGGGGGGAGAGTGACGCCGTAGTGGGGGAGGGAGTGGGTGATGGTGGTGAACAACGATAGAAGTAGAGATAATAGTAGTATTCGCATTTTGATATGATATGATAGTGTGTGTATAGATAAAAAGATAATGTAGGTATCACGACATACAAGGGACGATGGTGCAAGCAAGCATCTTAAAGAATTAACTACTTACCACTCAAGCTAGGCTAAGACTTTCAGTCATTCCTAACTTAAAACTCGGAAAGGGTCCCTGCCCATTTGTTTCAAACCGATCGGCGTTTCCAGTGGAGTGGTCTGTTTGCCGTTGTGACCTATCGCTGTCCCTGCTCAGCCTTATTTGATACCAGACCCTGCCTTGGCATTGCTGATCTTGTCTGCTTCGGAGATGGGGGTACGTGGATGGCAATGCCTTTTTGAGTCTGTTTCCGCTGTCTTTTCTCTGAATTGAATGAAGGGTTTGTTGTTGCTGTTGCTGCTACGGGTCGTCTTTGCCATTGCGATGAGATGTGCAGGGTCAAACTCTACTGGCTATGAATTGATGTCGTCTCAATGATTGAATTGCATGATGAATAGATTGACTTCACATCCAGCCACCCGGCCTGACCGACCTGTTCCAGACTCTGGCCAGTTTCACGGATCGTCCGTCCAGCCATCCACTCAATTGTCCTTTGCCGACACGGCACACACACACACGGTCGCATTGCTTGGATCGAGCACTGCCACAGATATGTCAGCACTCAACTTGATTCAAACCCTTCAACCCCAGTGTTCAAATAAATATAGAAACGCGGGAGAACAACGGCTGGAATTTCAATCAGGTCAAATTGACAGAGGATGAGAAGGAAGAATGGGACGGAATGCATTCAATTTTGACTTGAAACACCGGATACTACCACACGAACCCGTTCGATTGAGTAAGTCCCCACTGTAGGGGTACTTTTCTGTCCGGAAATGACTTTGTTCTCGGACGTCTGTCATGCACCGTTCAGTTCCGATGTTCGTTCCGTGATCGCTAGCAATGTGCTAGGGAATGTGCTTGATGTCGATTAGAAACGTTGGATATGTAGTGAATCAAGATAGTGACATCCAGGACCTGTTTGGTGATGAGAGTGGACACAGATGCCAGAGCGGGAAGAGGAACTTGCTCCTGTGTGGAATGCAGATTGACAACATGGCAATCCACGACGCGCAAAGATCTCCGGTCCGAAATATGCGGAATTCAGCGAGGTCGGTCAGAGTAAGGTTATATGCTTTGTGGAATGTGGGTTGAGGCATGCCTCGTGGTGCGGGTGATCTGGCCCCATTTGGGGGCGATGAGTCTGAAGTGCATATTGATCCTGGGGTCTCGGCGGGCTCAGTGTCACTGTTGGTGAGGGTTTATCTGCTCAATGCGAGCTACTGAGAGTGCAATTGCATCTTGTGTAGTGGGCGCTAACTGTCAGACAGATTTTGTCTTTATCAGATGGTGTAGATGAGTGATAAGATGATCGTCACTGCTTGGCATGAATGCTGTGAACATTACCCCATCACGGTTGTCCGATCACTTCGAAACACTCGTACGGGTAGCAAACCCAGCCTCAGCAAAAGCTCAGCAAGCACTAAAAGAGGATTAACAACAGCCATGATGGCCATACATACCATTCATCTCATAAACATATATACATTTCCTCGCCATCCACTCATGCAACCGGAATATACTCCCTGGCAGAAACAGCATCCGTCCTAGCCAGCACCTTATTCCCCTCTCCCACAGCCTCGGCATAATACCTCGTATCACTCGACGCCCGCTCACTCTTCCACAACAGGGTCGTCTCGAAAGACTTCCGCGACACCACTCCAAGAGACGTCGCATTACCCCTCTCAGACTGATAGAACCGCCATGCCTTTGTCTCCGTATCGCCATTCCAAGACACATACAACCGGACAGTCTGCGACGCGTCCACATATGCAGCAATGGCCGGGACTTCCGTCGGGGTGCCCGTCCAGTTGGCCAAGAATCCACGATAACTCTCCGCCTCCTCGATGAAAGCGTGATAGATGATCTTATTATTGGCGTCGTATTCAGTGACTGCGCCTGCTTGGCCCCAATTCACGAAGATGTTGTCATTTGATAGCAGCTGCGCGTTCCCTTGTGAAGCTGCCTGAATTCCATACGGAGCTGTCGCTTTCCGGAGGATCGTCGCGGTATCGCTGCTGTGGTTCAATTCGACGATCAGTGCGCGCGATACGTTGTTGACGATGACTTCGCCGTTGCCGGAGTTGTCGAAGAAGGAGATTATTTCTTTTGTTTGGGACTGGTAGTGCCAACGTGCGTGGTGCTGATACCCAAAGGTGAAGTTGTAGTTGAAGGTAGAGTGCTTGCCTCCGAGCTCCCAGATGATGGACCCGTCGGTGCCGTTGATCTTGAAGATGGTGCTGAAGTGTCGCGAGGACAGGAGGTAGTTGCCGTCTTTGTCTTTGTCCACGCTATTCAGGTGGATGAAATCCCATGTCGTGCTGGAGGAGAGACCGCTGTCGCTGGTTGATGAGCCGAGGGTGACCAGGCTGTCTGGGATGTGTCAGTAAAGCTCAAAAGAGAGCTGATAGACGAGACGAACCTGCGGGGTCGACGTGGTCGAGAGCGTTCCACTCGAAGATCAGTTCACCAGTCTCGATGTCGAATTCTGCATTGCATTAGCGCGAACAACGGCGTTGACCAATGATGGATACTCACCCTGGAACAGACCATCACCAATCCAATGCTGCGACGAGTTCCCGCCATAAGCCGACAGATTAGCCACGGTAGGGAGATAGACCTCCACCAGCGCGGTCTTCCCGTCGATGACATTGAACTCGTGAATAGAAGGAATACGATGATTCCCCGCCTTCGCAGTCACGACATGCTCATAGTTCTGGTTCAATATGACCTGCTGCCCGAACCCTTCACCATGCGATGTATCCATCGTCCCCTGGAATCCCTGCAGGACAGGCTCACCCTGGTATGTCGTGACGTGAAAATTACCGACAAACCCGGCATAATACCCGATACCAGACCAGATTAGGTCGCCATTCTTGCGGTAGATGTATGCACCGCTCTGCTGGATATCGTCCGAGTAAGGGGCGAGAAAGACATACTCGGTGCCGTTGGCATCGGGGGCCGGGATGGTGATGTTCAGCTTGGGAGGGGAGAGGTCTGGACGCGAGCGATATTGCCCGTCCGCTATAGTAAGGGGGGACAGAGCTGCCAGGAGCAGGCTATATTTGGTTAGAGCGATCATGCTGCTACTTCTATGCTTCGCAATGCTCTCGTCCTGCTTCCGGAATCCTCCTCCATTTTCATCCCTGGACCTCCCCTTTTATGCGCCGATTCCTATCACACCATCTGTGGTGGTGTCGAGGACAAGGTTGAACAATTCCTAACCGGCACAATGATAACACCATCGGTGGACACTTTGCACTCATCGCCAATATCGCTTAAGCTGCAACTAGATGTTAGTTCTTCGGCAAGAGAGAGTTGTTGATTCGGCTTTTACCCCCGGATCGGGTACTTGGTGGGGGATTTATTGTGCCATTGATCTTCGCGATGACGCGAGCACGGCTGGCGATGACTACATCAACAGGTACACAAGCGAGGTCAACACAGTTCTTCCGGATGTTAGGTGTGAAGCACATACCCAGCATCTACTTCAAAGGGAATAGATGTCAATATTGACGGTCTGTTAGATATAATCTGTCACAGATGCCATGTTTTCAGGGATATGGATAACAACCTACCTGCCTGATCCCACTTTCATAGAGCTGTTATCTTATCAAGATCGCTCATACCGAACTCATGACAGACTTGAACCGCGGACAGGCCTCTGCACCATTCCTGTTCCTGCAATATCGCGTCATTTCATTTCGGCAAATATTTGCAAGCGAGGCAGCACGCTAACTATATGAGCGAGTGACAGCGGATTATCCGAGCATGTGGAAGGAAATGAGGAGGAATATCACTGCCTTCAATGACAGTAATAGACGTGATTTAGTTGGAGGAGGGCTTTGGAAGTTCTACCTTCCTTCGTGTGATATCGTTGCGATATGATACTTTGACTCGCAGTGATATAGTATACGCTGGTATGAACTACTAATTAAGTTAGTGAGGTAGATAAAGTGCATATAAAATGCCACTTGTAAACCCAATATTGAGTAAAATCCAGTTCAGTTCACACAGCACGTTAAAATAAAGAGCAACTGCGAATAGACGTAGCTATCTTCTTTTCAACTGAAATATAATTGCAGGACCCATTATCGTAATTGTGTATTCCATCGGTTATTGGCTCGTTTTGTGATCGCTGAAGCCATATTACTTCTAGTAACAAATCTGTTGGGACTTGAAGGCACCGTGACTTGACTCCGACAACTTACCTCAATATATATATTGATGACTGTCTATCCTTGTCTTCAACATCATCGCGAATACGAAAAACCCTGAATAAAGACATGACGACGTGCTAGGTTACAAAGTACCAATAGCAATGCTACATATGACTGGAGCCTATAATACTACCGGAAGATGTTGGGTAAACTGCAGCTGATTGGTGTGGGAGGTTCTCGTGGTGTTGTAATTATATGTTCTACATAGTGCATACCACTTTAGATGAAGCCATAGCAGGATAGATGGCCCGTACTGCTCTAGATCTAGTGACTTCTCGGCGTGGGGTCTTAGCCTAAGATCTGGCTATATCGATACATTACTGTCATAAAGGAACGCTACCTCCAACTAAGGACAGAGCCGATACCAAAACAAAGAGCAAGCCATCCACAACTGCAATTAATGAGGAATCCCAGTCTTGCTATTACCTCAGAATGACTATCTAATTGTGCTTGAGAATCCATCTTCAAATCTAGAATTATGGAGACGACTCCGCCCGAAATGCCAAGCACACTATCCTGATTAGTTCCATTGCAAAGTCGTCGGGATCCGCCGACGCGTATATTATCCGTCTCCGACATCGGAGACCTAACGTATTCCTCGTATCTATCCTAACCCAAAATTAAATAGTAGTAATTATTGTCTCAGTCACTCATTCCCTCGTAAGCAAGTAAGCAAGTAAGTAAATAAGCAAACACATCAATAAGCGTAACGGTACGTCGGCGACATATCACCCAGCAATTCTTCCTCTTCCTCCGTGATGGTCGACGGATCGATGCGACCCTCGGCGATCGCGCGGTCGCGTTTCTTGTTGTCGTGCCACACCGCTAGGAAGTAGAGGATTGACATGGCGGCGGAGAAGGCAAGGAAGGACACACCGATGCTGTATCCGGGACGGTAGAAGGGGGCATCTTTCGAGAGGAAGGAGTAGGTGGAGATGATTCCGCCAACTGTGTTCAGAGGGTTAGTTACTGGTCGGCCGGGGGTAAGCAAAAGGGCCGTGCTACTTACTGTTGCCAAAACCAATCTGCCATGCCGTTCCTATACTGCGCCGACGATGTCCACCGAGGTTCATCGCGAACCAGCAGACTAATACTGGCATCGCGCTGTAGCAGCCGCTGGTCACCAGGAACAGCGCGCCGTATTGAACATGGTATTGTGCGGTGTCGTGGATGTTGAGCAGGATACCGAATCCGGCCATGGCTACCAACATCGGGATGATGGTGAACAGGAAGCGATGGCGGAATTTATCAGAGAGGTATGCGATGAGCATGGAGAAACCGAACGAGGCGGCCCAGGGTGGGATGGAGTAGAGCTGGGTTTTGACCGCTGGAAGTACATTAGCGACTGCACTATTATCGGTTATTTTAAGGGCAAGAACATACAACTGTAGCCGTAGGTCTGGATAATGGTCGGCGCAAAGTAGGCGTAACCATAAGCCGTAACCACCTGTCCAAAGTACATCAAGCCACCGATGAAGATCTTGTCTGCACAAATCATTAGCACTGTTACGCTATCGCAGCCACGGATACCTACAGTCCTTGAAGACGGCAGCAATATCACGCCAGGTCATGCTAGCATCGGCAGCCGATTTTCCAACATCCTTCGCCAGCTTGTCGCGCAGGAATGCCCGCTCTTCCTCCGTCAGCCATTTGGCGTCTTCGGGGAAGTCGGGAACCACGAAGAAACAGCCAATGGCCACCACACAGGTCAGAACACCCTCGATGATAAACACCCATCGCCATCCACTGTATCCTCGGAGGCCGTCCATCTGTCCCAAACCGTAGGCGAGCAAGCCACCAAAGGCACCGGCGAGAGTCGTCGAGCTGAAGAAGAAACTGAAGCGCTTCTGGGCTTCGCTGCGCTTATACCACATTCCCAGCAGGTAGAAGCCTATCGAGTCAGTATGCGACCATAAAATCGTGGATAACTCGACATACACCCAGGAAACAGGCCGGTCTCGAACATGCCCAGGAACCAGCGCGTTGTCATCAGTCCTCCCCAATTCTGCACCAAACCCTGGCAGACCATGACCAGCCCGAAGCCAAACATACACAGCGACACTATAAGCACGTCAGTGTGGCCCAAAATCTTGCGGCGCAATACGTACACCATGTGTGCGGCTTCAACTTCTTCATCAACACGTTGGACGGAATTTCGAAGATGATGTAGGGGACAAAGAAGATGGTAAGGGCGGTGTTATATTTGGTTCCAGACTCAATATTCAAGTCGGATTTGAGACCCAAAATGGCCGCGTTACTGACATTGACGCTGCGCAATTGATGAGCTTCACGCCTTTTGGAGTCGAGCGTCCATTTCACTGGGAGTCATGCATACCGATCCAAAAATGCAAGCAGATACATGACGCAAAGACACGGCACCACATGCCAGTCAATCTTGGCCATCAACTTGCGCTCGTTGACGGAGGCGTATTGCGATGGTGCCGGTGAGGACTCGCCATTGTCAGCCACTGGCTGTTTCTCTGTAATCCGAGTCAGTCAAAATTGGGAGAGTCGAGCGCCGATCAAGTCACAGCGCAGAGAATAATTCCGATCGCGGTTAAACATACCGTCAACGGTCATTTTCTATCGCGCGATCGCAAGAACGATCGCAGAACACGCACACGCACAACCGGATGAGGGCGAAAGAAAAGCAGAGTCTGAGAAAATCCAAACATGACGGCGACGACAGCGCGCGTGGCTGCAGCGGACTTTTAAACCGGAGCTGAAGGGCGGGGAAAGCTAGATCGGCCAAGCTGAACCAGGAACGATGATGACTCCTATGATGGCCAAAAAATGCGCCAATCCGAGGAGACAGTGGAGACCAGCTGGGTTGGATGAACCAACCATCCATGTCCGATTTGGAGCTGGCCACTGCGCTATCGCAGTCTACGCTGGTTCGGGTTGTGACGATCGAGTCATGCTGGATTTTTCATTTGGTCGGCTGTCTCTCTCTCTGTTTTCTGTCTTGTCCTCTGTCTCTCCCTTCCCTCGGCTAAGGGTTGAAGGATGAGGCTTGGCACCGATGTCGGGATACCTGGACTCTTATGACTGGTACAGAGTAGTAGTCTAACTCGTACATTAGCTATGTAACATCCTGAATATTGCGCATAAACAATTCAACCTCGGAGGAAAGGCGAGCCTGTCGGCAAAGGTTACTTGTCGATCGCGCCGAAAGGCAAGGGGGGTTCCATGAATATCACTTGCCCGATTGGGATCCGGTCGGTGATTCAGCTGCAGCGATCTGGAGTTCAAGCTTCATGGTGGCTCCCTCCCGTGCAAAGTTCTTGCTTGTGTGGGTTGGTCCACTAAGTAGAGATTTACAGTGTCAGAAGCAGAAAAAACTTGTCTCCCGAGTCAGAGAGCCATGATGGTTGAGGGCAACATCTCAAACCCACACCGGAACTGAATCGGAGGATCTGCGATGCTCACCAGAAGAATAACAGGGTTGTTAATATGGGGAAGCGGGTCTTGGAATCGTCAACAAGTTTAAGATCCAATGAGGGCCAGTTTGATTTGCCATGTCCGCGGTACTTGCCCCAACCAATAATGTGTCTGCAATCCGCATATGTCTGAAGGCATAAAGTACAAGATAATGATTATATAAGTTATTCAAGAACAAGCAACGCTACATTATATCTATCTAATTAACGAATCCATTGCCAATAAATACAACAGAATAACACATTCTTAGACATCATCATCATGATTGATCCCCCAATCCCAGCAGCGTCACCCTCAACTTTTGCTCAGGTAACACTTGTCCTCCGTATCATCACGCAATCAACTCTCTTCTTAATAACTGCCGTAAGAAGCGTACTTGCCATAGTTGCCGTAGTTGCCGTAGTTCCCATATCCCGCAGCAGCAGTGGTCGTGCTAGCAGCGGAGGTGGTCGAGGACTCATTGCCCTGGTCGGGCTGGGGCTCAGCATCCCTCTTGTACGATCCATAGCTGGCATACTTGCCATAGTTGCCGTAGTTTCCATAGTTGCCGTAGTTCGCTGCAGTCGTGGTCGCAGACTCGGTCGAGCACGTCGCGGAAGCAGTGCTGCTCACCTCGGGCTCCTCGTCACGCTTGTACGCCTCGTAGCTACCGTAGTTGCCATAGTTGCCGTAGTTGCCATAGTCGCCATAGCTGGCCGGTGCAGTGGTTGTAGGGACCGCGGTGGTGGTGGTCGAGCTAGGATCTGGTTCCTCACCACGCTTGTAGGCCTCGTAACTGCCATAGTTGCCGTAGTTGCCATAGTTTCCATAGTCTCCGTAGCTAGCAGGGGCGGTAGTAGTAGGGACCGCAGTTGTGGTGGTGGAGCTGGGGTCAGGCTCCTCGCCACGCTTGTAGGCTTCATAGCTGCCATAGTTACCGTAGTTTCCGTAGTTGCCATAGTCGCCGTAGCTAGCAGGGGCAGTGGTGGTAGGGATAGTGGTGGTGGTGCTCAAGCTGGGATCGGGCTCTTCGCCACGCTTGTAGTTTTGGTAGCTACCATAGGTGCCGTAGTCTCCATAGTTGCCATAGTTTCCATATCCCGCAGCAGTGGTGGAGGTGGCAGAGGCAGTCGACGACACGCTGCTGGTCGTCTCATCCGCCTCAGGCTCGCCGTCCCTCTTGTAGGCTTGGTAGTTACCGTAGTTGCCATAGTTGCCGTAATCTCCGTAGCTTGCAGGAGTTTCAGTGGCCGTGGCAGTGGAAGTCTCGGTGGCCACAGGACGGGCTGTAGCAGCGAGCAGGTGGCTGCTCAGCACCAGGAGAAGACCCTTAGAAACGGAATGCATCATGTACAACGAGATGAGGAAGTATGATTAGAGTTTATGAGAGGGGAGTGTGATGTTCTGGAAGATCTTGGGATTTGCATGAGACTGGGGAATACACGCGGCCATATTTATAACTTCTTCGTCTCCCTGCTTAACACCCCGGCATCCATTTTTAGCAGAATGCCAATATCTCTCATCGTGGAGTAAGCGTCCTGCTATGGCGTACCGGCATGATTGGCCAAGTCTCGGATTGTGCCATCTCTCGAAGCTCTATCTCGAGAGTAGCCGAGGACCGGCCTCAGTCCAATCACGGCGACACCCCGAGATGACCAAGTGGCGCTGCGGATGCCAGTGTTACACTCATATGCCTCACAAGTAGGCACCCCCTCATTGCGAGCTGGTGCATCCACTTCCCTCTCCGGGATAAGAAGGGGCTTGGAAGTTGACCTAGATCGCGGCGATGACCCATCGTGATCCGCCACCAGGCGGCCAATATAGGGTGTTAATAATAGCGTGCAGATGGTTTAATGACGGTGAATCCGGGTTTAATCTCGGGAGTAAGGCATCTTTGCGTCATGTCTCAGTTGGACGAAAGTAAGATGTCGAGCTGTAAGGCGGGCAGTGAGCTCGTATTAAGGATCTCCAGCGATTCATCCACTCCGGAAACCCTCATTGGGCGGCCGAATGAGACAACGTCTGCGGCCAAGCGGAGGGTGTCTTACTTGGAACAAATAACATCACCGCCAGGATGAGCCTCTCCGCACCTGCACGAGCCTGGTTGTCTCACCAACCACTCGGATGAGTGTTACACCCGTCACTTGGTCCTCCCAACGGCGGGTTTGGCTTCGGGAGGATATTATTAGCATCGGACCTGGCGGAGGCATAGATGGGCCCATTGGCCCTCCTCCATAGGCAACCGAGAATAAACACTCGTGCTGCGCTCTTTTTGCCGAAGAAGAAGGCTCGCGAAGTTGTTGCTCATTCTCTTTCTGTCGAAAAAGAGTTGTTCCTAGATACCATGAGTTCTGCGCGCAACACCAACTCTTTTGACGACAAGATGAACACCTCGGAGCGGTCCGACTCGGCCGATCGCGAGAGACTTTATGTCGATGAAGAAGATGTTCACTGGTCGGGGAAGAAGAGTGTGCGATCGGGGCCTGGAAGTTGGCTGAACATCATTTTCGTCGTTGTCATTGCCATAGTGTCGTGTTTGGTCGGCATCTTCGTCGGCCACAACCAAGGAGATTCAGACAAGGCGTGCACGCGGCGCATCACCCAGCACTGTACGTTCTAATCCCAAGACTGACACGGAGAGTCAAAAAGCGAGGAAATCAGAACGTTGAGCTAACGCGACCGTAGCACCCGTGATATCCAATGTTGGGCTCAACTATCACAAGCAACAGTTTAACGGGTCGCTCCTTAAAGAAAATATCTTCCGACAAGATGCCAGCCCCGAAGTGGATGCAGCATGGGAATCTCTCGGTGCCAACTGTTGGTTTCCTTTCACATCATGAAGTGAGTGAGCGGAGTTGGCTGATCGTAGTCCAGACCGATCCATTCGCGTGCCTGCCGAAGAAGCCGGGAAATCAGGACTCGCTCCCGACCAGGTTAAGATCAACGAGAAGTACGGAGGTGGATATCCTGCTAATGTGGAGGGATTCCACCATCTGCACTGCCTGGTATGTTAGACAAGGTAAAGGACAATATAGGTTGTGCGACTAACGGGTTACAGAATCTCCTACGCCAATCCCTTTACTACAACTACGACTACTACCATGACCTTGGCAAGGGCGCCTTCACCAACAATGACTACGTTGTCCGTCGCCACGTCAGTACGTTTTCAATACTACTTATTTCGTTTCAAATCAGTACTAACGTGGATAGCTCATTGTCTCGATATTATCCGCCAGCAGCTGATGTGCACCGTGGACGTGGGAGTCCTGGGTCAAGTTTGGGTCCACCCCGACCACCCCGAGCCCTTCGTTGACTTTAACACTGAGCACAAGTGTCGCAACTTTGAGGAAATCCGTGAATGGGCGGAGCGAAACCAGCTTCCAGAGACTGTTCCTAATGACTTCCTCCAACCCCCGAAGATCGGGGATAGAGTGTATGAGGAGATTCCATGATGGTTGCTGCTCCCTGTATATAGAATGTACATATAAATGTCTTGATGTTAATGAACTAAGGAAACGCGATCCCTGTGTAATGTAAAGCGGCTCTGTGAAACATTGGGCTCAAACTCCAATTCAATATTCCCCGAGAGAGGGAATCTGGAACAAACAGACCATGGACTCTTGGAAGCCTAATGAAATCAGGTTGCAGCGGACTGAGTCATGAAATTTAATGTGACAAATTAAGTTTGGTGATATTAAAAGATAGGATTGAATGGGAATGGTAGTAGTAGAATTGGTTTGTAAATTCTGCCTGGGGATGGAGAATCAATCAATGCTCCCAGGGATCAGCATAATGTAAAACAGCCTATTGCACTTTCCACAAGATTCCTGGTTGCTCGCATGTATACCAAATCCGGCAGTCCTGAATGGCACCAGGCATGAATATGACTTGACTGGCCGGATAGGGCTGATTAAGGTTACATTGATCCGCTGCCGTCCCATGGTTGTTACCTTTGAAGGGTTTGACCCAGGAGATTGAGGTTGCAGTCTGATAATCTGAAAGACAACTAGTACAGAGGCTTCTAATCGCTGTAAATGTTCTGGCTGTATACCAGAAAACTCGTGCCAATAAGTTCTACATGTGGCGCCTGATTCACGACTAGAATCATTCTAGAAGGAAGCGCCCTCCTGTAGGGCTGCCCAAGCCCTTCACAACGTCGAGGATCGTCGGCGCCTACCCCGCATCGGTGAAAGATATCTATCTGCAACCGACTTATCTTCCCAGGTGCCATGCTTTCTTCGTCGGCAACTCCGTTGGTACGTCAAATCGAACTCTAACCATATGAACTGCATTGCTCCACTCAATCGGAATCATGGGCCCTGCTATCCCTATTATTGATTTCGCTCGTATGTAGACGAACATATATGTCTAAAAGAATGTACTAACCATCCCCGCAGCCTTTCATGGGGGCAGCAATGAAGACCGACAACGCTTGAAGAATGAAATACACCACGCCTGCAAAGACCTTGGATTCTTCCAACTACGCAACCACACCATTCCACCCGAACTACAAACAGCTATTCTAGAGCAGTCCAGGGATTTCTTCCGTCTACCGGTGGGGACCAAGGAGAAATACAATAGGGGTAGGTTCACAAGCAACATCCACACTGGTGCCCACTGTTTAAGCTCCTAGATAATGACAGCTTCAACCGTGGATATGAATGCTTTCGCGCCCAGAACTTCGAGAAACGAACCGCAGGTGACCTAAAGGAGAGCTTCTTTCTTGGTCGACACCTCCCACTAGATGACCCGGATGTCCAAGCCGGCAAATTCGGCCTGGGACCCAACAAGTATCCCGTTGAAGTGACAGACCCGCAGCTCTTCCGAGACACGGTGGATCGGTACTATGGAGCCGTTCTCAGTCTCACAATCGACCTTATGACTGTCATTGCAGAAATGGTGGGCCTTGGTTCAGATGCTCTACGCAGGTTCTGTACCAAGCCCATTGCTACACTTCGCTTGCTTCACTACCCCCCTCAAGCTCCTGATGCGTCCGAGCTGGAAAGAGGTGTGCATGCCAACCCTCCCGCATTCGGCTCCAACCAATATCGGGGGTACCACTGATGAGCTAACTTTCCTTGCAGGCATCGGGGCTCACAGCGACTTTGGTGCTATTACCATCCTCCTGCAGGACTCTGTCGGGGGTCTACAGGTTTGGAGCCGGACATCGAACGAGTGGGTGGATGTGGTGCCTGTGCCCGGCGCAGTAGTAGTCAATACGGGCAATATGATGATGCGCTGGACAAATGATCGGTATATCTCCAACCTACACCGAGTCATCAATACATCGGGAACTGCGCGCTACAGCGTTCCGTTTTTCTTCGATGGCAACGCAGATTTTCTGGTCAAGTGCCTGGAAAACTGCCTCGAGCCAGGCGAAAAACCCAAATACAGCCCGATTACTGTGAACGACTGGATGGTTGGCCGCTATGCGGATACCTTTGGGGGTGGCGAGGTCAGGAGCGAAAAGGACCTTGTGAGCTTGGAGTAATAACACCAGGACACATATGGTCGAGGCGAAATAGTTATGGGCAAAGCGCACGGTTCTTTCTATCAACCGCGGAGAAGCATGAGGATCCTGGGCTTAATTCTACCTCAAGAATGGTTAGTCACATACCCAAACCACTGGGTACCAGGGAAGCCAGGCGCGGCCCGAGCGAAGCACATCTGACTATCGAGTTTTGAAAAAAAGTAAGTAGAATTGGGGCGATCCAGAGGTACGATTGAAGCATCAGGGATATTATTGCCTTTAGTGATCAACCGTGTAATGCACAGCGGGCCTATGACAGAGCCGGCTATATCGAGGGGATAAAGTATCCACCCATGCAGCAGAAGAGTAGTGATAACTAATGATCTAGCATTTCAGCAAGATTAGATAATCCCAAATACTTCTTGCCTACGGGAAATTCCGATGTTGGTAAAGAAACATGAATCGTGTCGTCAAACATTGCTGGGTGGCTTCAGAATGCATTGTTCTGTGTAACGTGGCCGGTGGAGGACCCAGCAGCACCGGCTGCACGGATTTAGTAAGTGTCGAGGTCGTAGATGTCACCAAGATATCAATATCCCAACTATTTGCAAGATCCGACCGTGAGGGATGGGGAGAGCAGGCCCAGTACCTGCTTGGGCCCCTTAGAAAGGCCCGGGATTTAAGTTAGCAGTCGGGATATGAAGTACAAGCAATTGGATCGACTCGAAACGTCATGCTGCAAGTGCGGGCTCCACCCAAACCACACTGAAAATAAATCCGGATTGTTCTAGCGGGTTGCCATCGGCACAGGGTCGCCTCTGACAGGCGCGTTTTCCTTCCGGACCAATTGATCCTACGTCAACCATGTTGCCCCGGAGTTTGAGCTCGACCAGATTACTACTCTGTATATTCTGTGGCCCCAGGCAATTCGGTTTGAAGCGGATATTTTCCGTCCCTCGTCTACCCACCCCCCCATCAAATCTTTTGCCCCCAATGCCTGCGTTTAGATCCCTGCCGGATATATTATCTCTACAACCCGACTTGCGCGTTCGTCTGTGATTTCCCCTTTGTGTGGCGCCTTGTGGTCGATCGAAAAAACACCGTTGATCAACCTTATCGAACCTGCTCAGTGCTGTGATTTAACGGACGGTCTGGCTTCCTCCAATCAGGGCTTGTGAATCACATCACTGGGCGTGCCTTGCAAACCACCCACATTATCAACTTCGTATAAATAGCAGCCGTGGTCACCATCCATTGCGCAATACCTTAGTGGCTTATTTTTGTATCTGCATACTATCTTAATTGTGCATCAATATTCCAATTCACCACTGTTCACCTCCCCAATCCCTTCCACTAAACGCCCCAATGGCCGACGTGAGAATGTCCGCCGACTTGAACCTCTACGGCCCCCTCTCAGGACCAACACCCACCACTGACGAGACCTGGCCGGGCTCCCTTCCTTTCTATCTCGATAATACCATTCCCCAGGACTGTCTTTCTCTCCCTCTGTTCGAAGATAACAACCAATGGCTGCTCAATTCCTTCGAGCCGCCCGTGTCCTGGGCCACTGGACCCGCTCTCCGAACCAACTCCACCGCTAGCTCGGACGCCAGCTTTATTGCTCCCTGTCAGACCGTACACAATCCTACCAATGATTACGAGCAAAAATATTCGCCGATGCAGGCCACCTTTCCTTTAGTACCGGCACAAATGCCCCCAGCTCCTATGCACGAAATCACTTCGCGGGGTAGCATCACGAGCGTCAGCAGCGGTGGCAGCGCCGACAGCAATCAATCCCGGTTCAGTATTTCCAGCTACAGCAGCAGTAACGAGAGCCCGGTATACAGTCGTCGAGGGAGCTCCAATCGACCACCCTCCCCGGGATTTGAAGTGAACGAGCGCGAACGACGCAAGCGGGAGCGTTTCCTTGAGCGCAACCGCGTGGCTGCCAATAAATGCCGCAAGAAGAAGAAGGAGCATGCCAAGCAGCTCGAGAGTCGCTGCGAGACGGTTTCGCGGGAGAACACGCTCCTGGAAAGTCAAGTGGATCACCTGCGGGGCGAAATCTTGAACCTAAAGAATGAGCTGCTGCGGCACTCCCACTGCGGGGATGAGAGGATTAAAGATCATTTGGCGAAGATGGTGAAGCAGCTTTCTGATAAAGCTGGTACGACAACTCAGAGTCCCGAGGAGAAGAAAGAGTCATTACCTCCAACAAAGAGTCCAAAGCAGGAGCAGGAGCAAGAGCTGACAATGGATCTTGAGGATTTGGTACAGCTCCCGGCTGCTGGGGACGGTTCAGCAACAGAGGGGCAAAAAGATACGGAGTGAAGGTCTAGTTCTGAGATCGTCGATGGCCTGTACATGATGGCCTGCGATGATTTGATTAATGTCTATATGATGAGGCGTTGTGGATATTTTTGATTCCTTTCCCCCTTCCTACGTCCCTATCTCTTAACCCTTTCTAATGTCTTTTGTCTTTCCGCTTCCTCCTTGTTACCTCTCTACATTTCTCTCCTCGGGACTTTCTCAGAGATACATATTCACGGCGATGGAAAAAGTACTGTTTACGAGCTAGATGATAGATACGATTGATGGTGATGGCGGAAGCTAGCGTGCTAGCGATGTTTCTGTTTCTAATGTGGCGAGCGGGGTTTAACGGGGCGCAAAAGTGAACTTCAATCCAACTATCTTGTACTTCGATCACCTCATGCTTGCAAGTAATTCGTTAAGGCTGAATCAATTTAATATATCCATTGTCGTCATGATCGTCAACAATGGGTCGAGTGGCCAATGGTGTTAGCGACGGGGCCACCACTTACTCAATGGACCTTCGGAGATGTTCGCCATCCAATAGTACTTTCCATTCTACAACTACTGTACTGCTTGTACAAGCCTCCGAAACTCTATTATGAATAGCAATACAATGATAATCCAAGTCAATCAATGCCACAATTGATACAATTTATCCTCATACTTGACTAATAATACATTCAATTCATATCACATTAAATCCTCTTCCCCAACAAGGCCGATCATAATGTCATGGTACTTAGTATGAGTAGATTTACTCCTCCGGCATATCGCCCCCAGTTCTCGATCCTCCCTTCCGACCAGCCTCTCTAGCCCGAGGATCTCCAGGCTCGAAGCTCCCTCCGGATGACATTCCTCCCTTGTGGCCGGCTTCCCGGGCCCGTTCTTCGCCGGGCTGGAAGCTTCCACTGGATGCTTGGCCGCCCATGGAGGCGATGTTGCGCTGTCGATCACCACTTTTGATTAGTACCATGCTCTCGTTTATGAAGTAGGAAGAAGGGAATGGGATCAATGTACCTGCTTGTCCTCGTCCATGGAGGCGAATCCGCCCGAGTGGCTGGACTGGCCACCCTTGCGGGCGATGTTCTCGACTTCTTCCTGCGGGCGGTTGGCGAAGTTGCCGGGGTTGGGGTTGGAGGTCATTTTGATGGTTGTGTGTGTGTATAGAGTGTGTTTGTGGTATGCTTTGAGATAGATGTTTGTTGATTAAGATGGGAGAGTAAATTCCAGGATTGTGGTAGGCTATTTGTACGTCTGTCGTACTCTGGATGATGATGCTTGTGTCTAACTATAGGTTTTACAATGACTATGTACTGATGTCACTGTTAATGCAGTAACCATGACCGTGAATGTGGTATACATGGTATAGTTAGCCTCGATTCAAGTTTCGGGGAATTCTCCAGGGTCCTGGCTGCATGTGGTCTACATGGTATGTTCCTACTTTGGGTAGGGCAGGGACAAGGTACAATTGTTGGTTGTGAAGTCATTCGGCATCATATTGTGGGAACATCATTGTTTCTGTACGGGCAGATCATTACCCTTGCTTTTCTCTCTGTTGCTGCTCTAGAAAAGTCTGGAAGGTTGGATGTAGTCATTGTGATGGTGGTGTTATACTGTGGACGGTCTGGGTTCGGTCGGTGGTTGTACGGTGGCACTGTGCTTGAGACTAGTGGATAGATGGCGGGGTTAGTGATCGATCAGATACTGTGTACAATGACAGTGTGTTGATGTGATCTCCTTCCGTGCAATTGCCCTATAATGGAAGAGATGCAGACAACCCTTGTTGTTGCTGGACAGTCGAGAAGAGGTCCGTCCGGTCTGGCCAGGGCCTCCAGATAGCACAGATAAGCCGTGGGGCAGCCTCACTCTGAGAAAAAAGGTGGACCTGATCCGCGTACAAAGCCTCATTCCCTCTCAGCGGTGGTGTTGTCTGTTGGATTTTTAGAGGACACTGTTATGGGCCTCGATCAAAACATTTCTCCACAACTGTTACTCTCATGACATCACCGTTCACCATCACCATTACCTCATCAATGTCCCCTCCCAATCAAGCTGCATCATGCGTACCCTGGGTCTGAAAGCCAATTTGAGCATTGGTTCCACAACTTCCCTGTCATCCATCCAGAGGATCTCTGGGACTTCTGACTGGCAGGGCTCTTCTACCGGAATACGGGACGAGAGTGCCGGTGCCCACGGGTGATCCCCGGTCTGTGCGATGTGCTGCCGTTGAGCTCTGGCCACTGACCATACGTGCGCTATGTTGAGGACAGCATGTGCAAAGTACATAATTTCTGTCATTAATTATTGCTAAATGGTCTGGTGCTTAAGTCTTTTCTATATTCTTTCTATGGTGCCTTTGTATCAGACATGGATGCTACAAACCAAAAGTATCCGTGCAACGCTCGGAATGCCAACGTCAACATCCCCCCCCCAATTCCACCCTATTTCACCGGTCGCGCTCGACCAAATAGTACTGAATAGTAACAGAACTCGATCAAATCACTTCCTCCCGACGAATTGACCAAAATACTGGTCCAATGCTTCCACATCTCCTAGGCTCCCTAACCAAGCAACATGTTGATCCGGACGGCAAAGGACCAGACATCCAGTCTCTTCTCGTATGCCGTACCTTGCATAGGCATGGCCACAAGCTTCGCCGTATGAGCCATCGTCCGCAAACACCCTCGAGTAATCCCATCCCCACGTCTCATCGAATGGATGAAATATTTCCGGTAGATCCAGAAGGTTCACAGAAGTTCTCGGGCTGGAATGTACCACAATCGTCTCGAGAAGGGGACAATACCGGTTCAATTTCAGGTCTTTGTGCAGGCATAGCAGATGAGGTTGCTCGTTGAATTGGTTCGCAAAATTGGCCAGCCGACTCTGGTTGCTAGGTTCACGCAAGTCGCCTGGGAATACGAGCAGCCTCCATGCTCCATTACTGGTCAACCTGCTAACCAGCTGCATGCTGATCCCGTCGGCCTGGCCCACGACTGGATACGATGACAGGCGCATACCGATCTTGATATTCTTCGCGACCGATGTATCCGCCTTCTTTCCGGTGATCAAACCATTCGAGCCATATGTCACCCCCGTTCCCGTCATGAAGTCGATGTATTGGCCACGGACGCGCTCGACACCTTCGGTGACGCTCGTGTCTTGTTCGTACGCTTTAACTAACTCGGTATCCAGCTTGAGCAGCTCTTCGCCAACTGGTCGTCTTTCCAATTCGTATGTATCGAGTATACTCGGAGAAGCCTCCCCTGTGATAACGGAGCATAGCTTCCATGTTAGGTTGTATGTATCCTGCATCGACACGTTCAGACCCTGACCTCCTTTCGGTGAGTGCGTATGCGCTGCGTCGCCGGCCAGGAAGATCCTGTTGTAATTAGCGTATGCTTGGGTCGACCAAAGAGTTCACCAACCTGTCATGTGGCCTATACGTTTCCACTAAACGTTGTCCTATCTATCCCCAGTCAGCTATGGCCACCTGCCTCCATTTGATACTCACCTTGTAGATAGACCACCAGTCGCAGTGCTTATAGGTCAAAGAGTAGGGCTTCATGACTTTCGCCATGGCTCCCACAATCTCATCAAGTGATACTTCCGATCGGTCTTTGCCCTCCACACTCAGCCTCCCATCGCCTTTGGGATAGATGTAAAAGCGAACCAGCCGATTCTCCCTAGGTGCGGTCATGATGCTGCCACGGTCCCCGGCATGTATAGCACAGGACTGACGAATGTCCGCTAAAGCCTGTCAGTCAAGCATACGTTTTCACCAACTAACCAAACTTACGGAAATCAGTGATCGGGGCGATATCCACAACGCCCCAAGTGGTATCTCCAGAACACACCCGCATCGGTACCTGCAACTGCTCTCTGGTCCAGCTCCTCGCACCGTCGCACCCGATAACATACCGCGCGCGAATGGTCTCAACATCACTGCAATGCCCATTACCCCCTATAGCATCATCCAAGTCAGCATGCAACCACCATCAAAACCAAGAATAACCATACCATTCTGGCCAACCCTCTTCACCCCAACAACAACCGGATACTCATCCTCCCCTTCCTCTAGCAGCTCCAACGTCTCCGCTTGTTTCCCATACTCCACCTCCACCCTCCCCTCCTGCTCTAACCCCAAATAATCCAGAATAATCTGCTCAATGATCCCCTGATTAAGCAACACCATATTGTATCTCGACTTATCCGTTTGAGCCGAGTCCATCTTGTGCCTCGTTATCCCGCTCGTATGCTTATCATAGCCCTACGCAGCGCCCGAATTAGTGCTGTGCTCTTTTTCCCCACAAAGATCAGAACTGGAGATAAAGCTGAATGCGATATAGTATATAAAATTAATAGTTTATTTACCCAGAAACACATCTCCGCATGTTGCACACCTTTCCGTATTATCGGATCAACTACCCCGAAACTCTCGAGGATTTCGAGTGTTCGGCTCTGTATCCCGTCTGCGTGCCCGGTCGCTGTTCGGCTGGGGTACTTGTCGATGATTCGCGTTGTCATGTTCGTGTATTGTGAGGCCCAGCAGGCCGCCATGAGGCCGGCTGGGCCGGCGCCTATGATCAGGAGGTCTGTCGTGGAGGGAGAGGAGTAGGGTGCCATTGCTAATGGGTGTCGTGTCATGCCATTGGGTAGGTAGGGGGTCATATATTATATGTAGATCCTGGGGTAACCTGTACAACGAATGAAAAATGTGGTATTTCTTACGCTATATTGCAAGTCTATCGCAGGCATTTCTTGCGTTCCTGGTGGCTTCTGATAAAGTACAGAAGTGGCGTCACAATTGAGTTCGGGCGTTTGGTTAAGGTGACTACCACATCGAAACGTCATGGATCGTCACCGTGGATGACTCTCTGTCGCCAGATTTCTTGAACATACTTGCTCTATCCCAACTACTTATCCAGAATATAGTTTCTATTGTGGATCGCTGGATTATTGTACATGTTGTAATTGATCGCCGTGTTCTTGGGGTGACATTGGCGCTGGGTTGAAAGTGCTACTTAAATAGGCAACCGAAAGACCGGATTTATTTTCCACCTCGACATGCTATTATATCATTGGGGAGTTAAAACCTATATAACGTTAGATCATGGCAAAAATCTCAAAAATGCTAACCGCTTCGATTCAAGTCATAAACTCACCGATCCCACGTGGTCCGATCGGAGTCGTGACCCTCGGGTATAAGTCACCGGTCGCATCGTTAGCGATTCGGGTACACAGAGAAGTTGAAATGCGGCGCTAATGAAACGATGGCAATAAAACAAGAATTCTAACGCGAATTTTTACGCGTCTGGGGTATCAACACCAAGCACATCATACACAGTATGTGCCATATCAGCTCTCAACGACATCACGCGAACCGCACTATCAGCCCGACGATAAGCCCGACAAGAGCCCCAATGAGGATTCCACCAGCCATATATAACAGCGAACGGCGCCACGACCAGTTCACCCAGTGTAACTCGGTCGGTAACTGATAGCCTGGGTTCATGGGCGCGTTGGATTCAAGGGTTGGCCCTTTGGCGTAGCTGTCGGGCTGAGCGGAAGTCATGATTTTGTTCGGAGAATGTCCTTCGTCAAGGCTGTCAGTACTTGATGAGTTCAGATATCCCCGGGGCTAATATACGTACAACACTAGCATGCGATTGTTGTTTTAATGATATTCACCAAGAGAAGATGCCGACAGCGGGCCTCCTTCACTTTTGTAGTCAAACCAACCACCCGCATCTGCACCATTTCCGTATGACTTTGTCCTCCATCCAAACAGGCCATACAGAATGTAATGTGGGGTGGGTTGAGTTGTGAGCCTACAGACGTGCTGTCTTCCTTGGCCTCTTGGCATCGCATCTCTCATGCGTGCCCTACGGGAATTTTGACTTCGACGGTTCTTTGAACCCGTAGTTGTAGACGCCCGGCTGTGGGTCATATCGAGTTCGTCGGTGGATGGTGGGAATGGGATCATACACTAAGGATGGGTCCCACAGAGGTTCATATGGATCTGCGTTCTCATTTGTAGTCAATGCAGGTAATGTCTCGGAGGACAAGAGACCGGGCAGTCATAGCAGGACATATTAGAGGCGCCGGTTCAGGGCCCATCCCCTGCTGCCAAGCGTATAGATAGAGATGGTAAAAGCCAAGGGTGTCCTAGCAGTTTCTGTCAGTTGACAATGCGCATGGTCGGAATATTGCGTGTGCCAAGGAGTAGCGCCCGGCCACTTTGCGGAGATCAATATAAAAAGTTCCTAGTGTCGATGTCTGGGGGCTCGGTTAGTACTAGGCCTGATGCTATGCTGATTTTGAAAGTAATGGTGGCTGATATTGTCAGAAGGCATCATAAGAACTAAGTGATATCTCACTATCACGGTCGTCTTAACTCATAATCGTAAATCGATTCCGACGCCACAGTTGGGTAAGAACACTGTTCGACAGGCTGCAGTGGACTAGAACCAAGACCAGACATCCTTTATTTCTCTGTTTTAGAAAATAACAACCCATTTTTGGTGGACCCGGCCAAGAAACTCTGGCAATTTGGGAAAGTCACCTTGGCCTCTTGGTCGACTTCGCGCAGCCCCACGGCAAGGAGACTGAACATCTCGCCGAGTCGGAAGCAACAAGGACTGTTGTTAGAATAAACACAAACATCGAGAGCAATGGTGCAGTCAACTGAGAGCCCGAGTAACCCAACCACGTCGCTTCGCCGAATTCGCGTGGCTTGCAAGGAATGTACTGCCCGACGCCTCAATCGCAGATCGGCCACCCCCAGATAGTAGATAGCGGGCCGAAGAGCCAGTAAACTTACGGGGTGCATTTGCTATGCCATCTGGAGGGATAGCAGACCAACTTATCCGGGTTTCTTTTCCGACGTCATACCCCCAGAAAACCCCATATTGAATCTCCAGAGAAAAGCCTCCCCCCTCATCCTGCATGGTATCTTCCTCATTGACTCTGCGATTGGCAGCGAGGCCTTAGCCTAGCAAGCGGGGTTTACCGACCGTGCTGCCGTGAGAAGGGCACATTATGTCCGAGCAAAGGCATCGTACGATGCGGATTCTGAGAAGGATTCCACAGTCCTTGCGGCGGCCTTGCTCCTACTCAGATTCTGGCGGACAGACCCCGAGATCCAGACAAATTCCTGTTACTGGGTAGAGTGTGCAGCAATGTTGGCTCATTAGATGGGAATGCATTTGCTGTACGTTGCGTCAACCCTATCGTTTGGCGGCTATATTGACATTGTGTCAGCACATCCCCGTACGCGATGGGTCACTCGATTAAATCCCCGCGAAAGCGAATCTGGTGGTCGATTCATGTAAGTCACTTCAACTCTTATCTGTGATACATATGTACTAAGTGAACCATGTCCGTGATTCACAGGACGTCTGCAGCTTTCGAACAGCTGTGTCGCTTTCGAGATGAGGACTGTGATGTAGACCCGCCGACTGAGGACGACTTCAGTTTTAACCGTGGGTATTAGGTATGGCCAGACACTTACACATCTCCAGCAGGGCTTTCATATTCATCAGCCAATTAAGCCACAGCAGGCCCGCGCCCGAGAAAATCCAAGCAGAAGTATTGCCCAGAAGGCTCGAAAATGGGAACCTAAGTTGTCGGACCAGATGCAGCACTGGCCTCAGAGGGTTCAGCCGTCTTTGACATGCAGCGATAGGTGCAATGTCGAGCATTAAATATGTGTATAGTGCTTATGTGACAAGCAGATACCTCTGACGTGGAATATTTAGCATATACTCATGGTCGCCACATGTTCTTCAGGATGTTTGGGCCGCCATGCTCGAGGACAAGGCATGGTTGGACAACGTTACTAACAGAAAGACCAGACTTATGGCGGAGAACTATCGCATTGCTACATCTTTCTTTCGTGAGCATGGCATTCGGGTTTGCGAGTCGTTTGTATTCTTTGAGAACCCCCAAAAATATTAATCATGCTGATACATGGAAAGGAATACCGGCTTGTTTATTTGAGTTAACCTTCGCCATCTACTGCTAGGCAAGTCTGTCACACCAGTGTCAGACTACAGGCAGCTGAGGGTTACATTGCCTGACACTCGCTTATATGAACGGCGTGAGTTGAGGATCACTGACATCCGTCCGAAGAACAGGGTTACGATTGCGCTTGGAAGCGCATACATGCCAAAAGAGCTCGGTTTGTTCCGAATCACGTTCATTCCCGGAACGGAACGTAAGCCTTGGGAAAAGGATTAGAGCGGCTGTTGTGATCCATCGCAGAGGCTGAGGCGGAAATTCATGGGAAATGAAGGACTATGCCGTTTGAAGTATAGTGAAGCGCATTGATTGCTATCTCGGTCCGTAAACCACACACATTCACCACTTTTCACCAGCCTTGTCGGCCTTTACCGTCCCACAATCCCCTCTGCTCCTTGGATGGCTGCCTGTGGTGCTGTCATCTTTACTTGGCTACCTAGGTCGCACTCTCTAGATATTTCTATTTTCTCGTCTGTGTTATCGTGATCACGATCAAGTCCAATCACCTCGGACCATCTTTGCTATTTATAGGATAGTCCGGACAGGGGATCCCTTCTCGCCTCTGGCCGCGATAATGACTTGGTCGCATTAGGGCATAGTACACACTTACACTATAGGACAAACCCTGGAAGATTGCAGGTTCCCCTCTCTCTTTGGGTAACGATAGGACCAACTGGAAGATCAGACTGAGAGCCGGACTAAACACAGACCCACGGCGAAGGCGGGCGCAGACATGAGTGGTGCAACCAGGGATTCTAGATCGAAGCGACCCCACCAAGGGAGATTAAAATCATAACAAGCATATTCCAATAGTATCTAGCTAGGTAGCTAACCAAGTGACTACTGTGTGGCACAGTCGCGCACCAGCTGAATGAGCCACGACCCTGGTTCCCACACAGCCAGCATCCTGACGGGCCCTTCATCCGAGCCTCACACCAACAAGGACCCCAACCGATCGCAAATGGCCCCCAATTCACTAGATTGAAGCCAACTCATCTGGCGGACAAAACAACAGGGATTAGCTGGACTAGCTGGTTTAAATGCCCATCCGCCATGCACCGCCCCTTAAAGACCGTTGGCCCAGGAAGCCTTTCCTCCTCACATTTTCCCTCCAAGAAAAACAAACCCCCAAACTGTCTGCATCTGACCTCAGCCAACCATGGCTGCCAGGTCGTCGGATGGGCTTCGTCTCCTGTCCGATGTCAACATCCCGGACGCAAGATTGCATGACGACTCATCCGGCGAGGACGATAAAAGCGTAATCGATCTGCGCGATCTCGGTCCGGGGCCACGCGATTCATTTCGTAGTGACTTGACCGATACACCACCCAAAGGTGTCGATCATGGCGATCAACCTCATTCTCTACCACTGCCGACCAATAAATCCAGGCGTCGGTGTTCGGGTCTCTTCGTCACTCTTATTGTGCTGGGCGTGTACACTACCATCCTGTCCGGTGTCTTCTTCGTCGTCGCGTGTATCAAGCCCTACTATGGCAGTCTGATCGGCAACAATGCCAGGCTCACTGCCTCGTCCGCATCCTTGCTGAGCGCCCTGTTGGCCAAAACAATCGAGCTCTCCTATGTCACAATTTGTGTTGCATTCCTGGGCCAGCTGTTGAGTCGGCGGGCTCTCGCGCATGGGTCAGAGGGCGTCAGCATCGCTGACATGACGCTGCGAACCTGGATCACGCAGCCGGGGTCGCTGCTGATGCAGTGGGATGTGCTGCGCTATGTCGGGTGGACGACACTTGGTGGGTTGACGCTGATTGTTGCTCTGGTTGCGATGCTGTACACCACTGCTGCTGAAGCCCTAGGTTGGTCATTCTATTCCCTAACTACCCATGGGAGACTTACTTTCTGACCGTCTGCGTTCTCTTGACTGTAGTATCTCCAAGCTTGGTCATGGGCCCCATCCAGCCACGACTTCTGCAGGGAAATGTCTTCACTGAATACTCCAACCCCTATTATTTGGAGGATGCCTGTCAGACTCCAATCACAGTCGATGTTGACCCGACACACTGGAATGAGACCTGTCTGGAGATGGAGATAGCCGGCCGCTCATACCACGACTACTATCAATACCTGCAAGGTTGGGCCGAAATGCTGAAAGCCGGAAATAGCACCTCAACGGCCCTCGCTTATCGCCCGCAGCCACATGCCTTGCTATACGACAACACAACAGTGACCGGTCGCTGGATCGAAGTCGTCAACACAACCGCCCTATCCGAACAACATGGTCGCGTCGTCAATAACGTCACAGCCGCCTACCCACACGGAGGCCTCTTCGCCGCTGCACGCAACCCCGCAAATAAGATCCAACAGCCTGTTGACATGTCTGGAGAGGGCAAGTACATCATCCAAGCCTCTCTCCCATCGCCTGCTATTAATGTGATGTGCGTCGGCATGTCGCATGACGAGCTGAAACCCCTCATCTACACCGAGTGGCCCAACCATAAGCCCTTCAACGCATCGACGTGGGCAACCGCCGCACCAACATACTCGATCAACACAAACCGCACCGTCGTCGATGACCTCTTCGGCTTCAGCGAAGAC